GCGTCCTCTGTGTGCATTATAAAATTGTATTCCGTAATGGGTCTTTTATTGTACTTATTGTAATTATGCTTGAACTGGGCTTCAAACAATTACTGGTATAAGTACACTGCATTGAAAGGTTTGCCTGCTCCTAAAATAAAACGTATCCTAAACCCTCATTTCCAAAAGGCCGGCAACGCACTCGTAACACCTTTGGTTTTGCTGGTGTCCATTGGCGGCGCTGATTGCTTACCAACAGTTAATTCGTCTGCTAGTTTGCCGACTTATCCTATAAATAAATAAAAGTATTTTCCCTATATGTGGTTCAAACTCGTTGGAGACGAATAAGGCGCGGGTTCTTTAAATGTTTGGAATGTATTACCAATCCTATTTTGCTGAGAAGCTCCGGGCAATACTTCTCAACTCAAAATTAGCTATTTTAAATAGAGGACTTACATCAGCTATACGTTTCATCATCAGCCTATAAGTGCCCACTGCTGAGCAAAGGCCTCTTCTCATACGGAGAAGGTTAGAGCATTAATCACCACGCTTGCTCAATGCGGGTTGGCGATTTCAAACTTATAATTAGAAATTATAAGTCCAGGTTTCCTCACGATGTTTACCTTCACCGTATGTCAGTGGTGTCTAAATAATCATAGAAAGTACATATAACTTGGAAAAAGTCACATTGGTACTTGCCAGGTTTCGAACCCACACCCTCATGCATGAGAAGCGGGCTCCTTAACCTCCGGGCCACCACGACATTTACAAGCTATACGTTTGCGCTTCCGTAAAGGTAGATACAAAGAATACTGTAAATTTATCCACTGATCGATCAATAGCCAATCTATATACATATACAGGGTTACAGGTTAATTCGACCTAAATCCTTTGAGAGGTGGCAGTTTCCATCATTCCTGACTGATTTGACTATGGAACCCCATACCCCAAACTTTACCGTTCTCAAGTCATGGGACTTTGAAAATAAAAATAAAAAAATATTTTCTATTTTTTTTTTAAGTCAAATCAGTCAGGAATCATGGAAACTACCACCTCTTAAAGGATTTAGGTCAACTTAACCTGTAACCCTATATAAAAATCTATAAAAATCAATGCCACATTTCGTTGTAATGTTAGAACTCAACAATGCCTTTACCGATTTGCCTAATTTTGCTCTTGAATTATTCGTGGAAGTCCAGAAAAGGTTTGTTCTTTGTAGAGAAAATTAAAAAAAAACCCTGAAAATCGACATGCACGAGGCGTCCACTATTTAAATGTAAAAATCAACACCTACTACGCTCCTTGCATACCTACTTCCTAAGCTTAGGTGTATAATACATCTGCCTGTATTCCACGCTAGTCTTTTTATAGTATCTAATTATATTGTAATTAACACCCACAAATTAATTACTGACTCTTATTTGTTAATCTAATTTGTTTGATTAATATTTATGTTTGGCTTTGTCTTTAAAATTTATTTTTATGAAGTTGAGCCGTGAGTCATTTATGTCGTGTGGTTGCATTAGGTAAGTTTTTTTTTGTTAGGTGTAATATCTGAAAAAAACGTTGTAATAATAGGCCTGTTTCTGTTTAGTATTTATTCGTGCACTTATTCTAAATATGTACATACTAGCTCTTGCCCGCGACTCCGTTCACGTGGAATAGTGACTTCCTGCAGATTTTTGGTATAAAAACTATCCTATGTCCTTTATCGAGTTCCAAACTATGTCTGTACCAAATTTCACAGCAATCGGTTCAGTAGTTTAGGCGTGAAGAAAAGAAAGACAGACTGACAGAGTTACTTTTGCATTTATAATATTAGTTTGGATTTGATATGAAGGAATTGCAAATTCTGTGCGAACCCTGATTTCCAAAAACTTTTCCAAAAGACGAGAGTTGTGTATCAGAAATTACAATTTTATCCAAAATGTACAAAAATTAAAGACGAAAACAAAATGATCACGCCTAAACTACTGAACCGATTTCTGTGAAATTTGGTACAGGCATAGTTTGGAACTTGAGAAAGGTCATAGGATAGTTTTTATACCAAAAATCTGCAGGTAGTCAATATTCCACGCGAACGAAGTCGCGGGCAAAAGCTAGTGTTACGGATGTCCATGAGCCCTACTGATTGCTCGCTATCAGTTGATCCGTCTCGTCTGCACGTTTGCCCTAATGTACTTACCATAAAAAAGATGGCCGCCTATTTCACAGTTTTTCTAACGCCCATCTTTAAACAAAGCTTTATCTAATACAGCCAAGGTTTTACAGTATATTTGCACAACTAGAACAACCTTGTTGCCTTGTACAGTCAAATATTAGTTAACATAATGTCTAGCCCACGGTTTTACCTGAATTTGGAACAGAAATGTACCTATTTGTTGTTTAGGAGTCGATTTGATTGATGATATATGGTCTCTGTATATCGATTGTTTTTTTTTTTTTTGGTAGTTTACGGCCAATTTTTTTTTCCATTATAGCCAGATTAATTTTATTATTTGTGAGGGAAGAGCCATCAAATGACTTCTCCCGAGAGGGAGTGTCATTCTCATGACTTAAAACCCCACCGCTCTTTTTTCTGCTTCTAGGCCGAGGTCGCGCTGCCTTATTGCGCTTATCCCGCAACTCCGCCTGAATATCAGCCATATAGGGCCCCGTCCGTAGTGGTCTATTGGCTCTTTAAGGCCAAAAAATAACCGATCCTGTTCCAAAATAGCTGGATAAATCTCTGATAGAAACTATTTGCTCCGGCTAAAGTCTAAAATCGATCATTGATTTAGGATTGAAATTGATGATTGATTGATGTGATTTTCACTAAACTTTTTCCGGTGTGCTACTGTTTGAGCGAGATTCAGTGTCAGATTCTAACTGACACACCGTTCCTTCTACCTAAAGGTTAGATTTAAAGGCTTTTGGGCAACGAAAAAATTTTCGACTTTGTAATTGAGTACCGTGTCGGTCATGTCGCGGGTATAAACTGGCTCTTTCTGCTTATTAACCGTACGAACAAAAATAAAAAGTTTTATATTAAGTTCGGAACAATGTCGGTAACACCCTTATAACTCCTCTGATGTTGCGAGCGCCCATGGGCGGTGGAGATATCTTAACATCTGGTTTTTCTGCACATTTGCCATAAAAAAGCTGTAAAAAAAACAATTTATGTTACTGGCTCCCGTGATACTAACTACTTAAAATCAAAATCTATATCCATAATTTTTATATTCAATAAACAAACGGAAAATCCAATTTCCTTTAATATCTCCTCTTCAAATTTATTTACGCAAAGATTACGTGACTTTTTAAGGCTCTGTAGTAGATTATGTAAATAATTTTGTAAGTGTACCGTGTTTGGTTACTCGACATTGAGAGTTTTAGATAACTGATATTTGGATGCGGTTTTATACTAACGTTACGTAGGATGGTAGTTCCTTAAAGGCCTTATTACAAAACAAGGTTTTACTTTAGTCTAGGACGAAACGACAGACGAGACAGTTTTCGTATTTAGAATTGAAGGTAGATGACAATAAGATTCAAAATTCAAAACCCGACTCAATGGTTTAAAACTGGACTAAAGATAAACCTTGTTTTGTAATAAGGGGGTTATATGTTTTTCCTGCTATTACATCGTTTTGCTGTTTATTTCTTATTTTTATTTATTTATTTATTTACATCACACTTCATACACTACACGCAAATACATTATCTTAGTACGCCTATTTATCACACTTACAGTTCTCTAATCAACATTCTATTATGATGTTAATTTTTAATATATTTCAGTAGGTACGTATCACTATATATCACACTACAAAAAACTGTTCTTTGCGTCCGTCACGTCACAACCTCAGGTTCAGTTGAAAACCAGCGTCAGGCACTAGTTGTCTGGCATACATGCTGAACTGAACCTTTTTTGGCGCAGCTGTGAGGCACACCACACTTTATTTTTTATTAATTTTTGGTTATTTTAGGTACCTTTTTTGTTTTTTTTTAATCTATTTTTAATTTGTTTTTTTTTTATTTTTTGAATCTTCTATTTTTTGCTTTATGTTTGTGATTTTCGTGTGCCCTACACTGTGGCTGAATAAATTTATTTTCTTTCTTCTTTCTTTCTTTATGTTTTTATAATAACTATCGTGAGACATACTAAATTAACTAAAATTCGCGGGTTACTCACGTGTCGCCGCGTCCGCGCACGCTGCTCATGAGGAAGAACCCCTCTGTGGTTCGAAACTAGTAGAGCTTTTCTCAACATTTACACGTGAGTAACCCGCGAATTTTAGTTAAGGGGGTTATAGTTTAAATATAGAAATTTCTAGATTTATAACTCTTAAAAAATAATAAGGATTTTTGTTCAGAATTGAAATAAAACGTTTTTTTTTTCTTTGTGTTTAATTTTTTTGGTCAGATTCCTCCTCCCGGCTTCGAGATAATAGTAATTCTTCGATATTGCCTGCGAAAAAAATAAAAAATGTTTTTTTCATATTTGTTTATGACGATTAGTTCAAGTATTTGTAGTTGTTCGGAAGTTATGCAGAAATGTTTGTTACATTTCGAATCTTTTTTATTCAAAATAGCATTTCATCGTTTGCTGTTCCACGTACTCTATTATTATTTATTATGTTTTCGGCTTACTCACGTAATAATTTGATGAGATACTCGACTAGTTTCAAGCCATGCTAGAGGCCCATATTCAGCAGTAGCAGCGCGACAGTCGACGAGTCGCGTGTCGCGGAATGCTGCTCATGAATATGGGCCTCTAGCATGGCTTTAAACTAGTCGAGTATCTCTTCAAATTATTACGTGAGTTTAGAATGTCTCACGAAAGTTATAATACTCTATTATATTGTGATCATTTGTTAATTTACAGTATTCTACGTGGAAATGAACTGGCTAAAAGTTTTTCCACTTTATGATGATTTTTAACCATTTCAAGTGTTCCAAATAAAAATTGGCCTGGTTTAACAAAACTAATTTCTAGTCTATGCTGATATTTGACTAATGGTTAGTTTCTTTGTCCACAGATTAAGTTGGAGAGCGTCCTCGGGCTGACGGTTGGCAGTAACGCTGCTCTCGACTGCGATCCGAACACCGAGCTCGTTGCATATCCGGCAGGGTGAGTAATTCATCTTACTCCTTCTTTTATATTCTTCTCTCTTTCCTTCATTGACACGCTGCCCTTCGTTCGGATTCGTGAGTTGTTAGATCTGCAACAATTTGTTTCGGGTCAAGCGCAATAAGGAACCACGGCCCCTGAAGAAGGAACGAGGTGCTTTTTTAGTCAGTAAGTGTATGAAACTCCCTCGCTCTGGGCGTAAGAAGGTATTTGATGACATTCCCTTCTTCCCTGCTTCCCTTCTTAAGAAAATATCTGTATAAATTTTTTCTTTGGATGATTCAGTGTAGTCGGGGCTTATTCTGATAGCTAGTGGTCTCTTACATAAAAGATCAGCAACGCACTTGTATGTCCTCTGGTGTTGAGGTTATCTGGTCTTTCAGCAGCAGCATACAGTTAGTTTGTAACCTCATTTTTTATGTAATAGGGCAGATCATTAGATCCCCTGATGGTAAGCAATCAGCGCCATCCATACACAGCGGAGTAGTTACGGTACGGTACGGTTTTGGAGTTTTTGGGATTGGGGATCCTCCTAAATATCTTTATAAATCCCTCTTTTCAAACAAAGTCTTCTTCAGCAGAAAAATTAGAACGAATTCAATATTAGTTCAGTATTTTCGTTTTAAACTCAACTAACAATGCAATCTCAACGAGAATTGAATAAAAAGTTTTCGCTAACGACCTTCATCGGTTTTAAACTGGGTTATTGGGTCAAGGATACCACCCTGTTTGACCATTAGTTCTTTATTGGGTTCCGAGCTCAATTGAAACATCGGTCTAGATTCTAGAAGTTTCGAGTGGAATTTTCGAACGTGATTTTTAGTCTTCCAAATCCACTAGCTTATGATATTATTATCATTATGATCGTTGTGTTTAAATTGATGGAGTATGAGCTTCTTCTACATAAGCGGGTTGATCATAATCTCCAAGCTTTGGGAGGGTTACAAATCGAAATGTGAGAGCGCTGTTTCATGGTCTCTGTCTAACTCATAGTACCCAACTCTGTTCTTTTAAAAGGCAGTTTCAGACGAGCAGATGATTCAGGTACCCTTAATATAAGTGTGGGGGTCGTAAGGGGTAATATAAGTGGGGGGAAGTCATGCTTCGGCACGAATGTTAGCTCGACCGGAGACCATGGCCTCACGGAAAACCGTCGTGAATCAGTCACATGCTTGTGTTTTGACGTGTAGACAGCTCTTACGATCTCAACGGAAAGTTAGGAGTTCTTTTTCGTTTTTTTTTTAAGTAATATTAGGAATTTCTCCTGTGTCGTGGGTGCGTTTTCAAACATACAATATCACATACACATAACTCCTAGACCAGGAACAGACATTTTGTGCATCACATAAAGATTTCTTCCCTCCGGGAATGGAATACGCGACACGTTCCTCGGCAACCAGTTGCCCAGCCACCGCGCCAGCCGTGCTGTCAAAGATGGGAGATGGGAGTGTAAACGATGGTGGCCAATGTACACATTCTTGTCTATCGTCATTACATGACGCTCAATGTGTTGCAAATCTTTAAATCAATTTGAATCCTATCTCACAAGTAATAAATATGAAAATTGTATTTTTTTTTATATAAAATGTTGTTTAGCACTAGGATTTTCTCCTGTATCGTGGGTGCGTTTACAAACATACAATTTCACATACACATCACACCCAGACCCGAAACAACAATTTGTGGATCACACAAAGTGTTGTTCCGTGCGAGAATCGAACCCGCGACACGTCGCACGGCAGCCAGTTGCCCAGCCACCGCGCCAACCGTGCAGTCACTGAATTTATCTCCATATTTCGCGTTACCAACTCGAAAATACATTCGCTTGTTAAATATCCACTGATATTTACGCTCATCTCGTTATCACGGCTAGGCGCATTCGATTTTGCGGTCACCGCCCGCCCTCTGGCGGCGGCCAAACCGAATTACCGAGCGCTCCGGTCTGAATCTAGAAATTTTAATGGTCTATCTGGTTCTGTGCCTACCTTTTGGCTAATTGACAATCTTCTAGACGGATAGGTGACCTAATTTTATTACTTAAACCGAAATTGATTTAAAGAACGTGGGAATATTTCGCTTTTGTGGACTATTATCTGACTACTCATGGCCATTTTTATTTGTCATGTTATAGTTCAGCAAACGAGCAGATGCATTATATGATGGTAAGCAATCGGCACATATGGAAACCCGCAACACCAAAGGCCTTTTGGAAATAAGGGTTTCGGATATTTAGGGATTGAGAAGAAATAGGGAGAGGTGGAAAGATAGGGCCTCCGGTAACGTCACTTACACGGCGAAACACAGCAGCGTTGTGTTTCGCCGTTGTCAAGTCGCTTTCTCAGCGCTATGATCCGAAAACCGTTAATTTTACAGAAAAACTATAAGAGACAATTTTATGAGGAACAATTTTTATAAGATCTCTATTGACGTCCGAGCAATAGGTCGCGAAATATATGCAAAAAACTGATTTTCGTTACCTTTTGACCTCTGTAATTTTTTTAGCTGACACGATATCGATGTCGATTTTTCACAACTTCATAATAACGCCGTAATAATGGTGTATACAAAAATTCAGCTCACTAGGAATTTTTCCCCAGATTGGGGTATAAAATGCCTAAAATGACTGGACTAATTAGGCATCTTGATTTTATCTAAGTCAAACCATAGTTCAAGTTTCTCTAGCTTTTCTAATTGTTATTGTGTTACAGAGACTTCAACATTTATAAATACCTATACTTACCAATTTTATCAGTCTATCGTACGAATAAAATTAAAGTAGGCAATAATTTTGACGATGCTCTTTAAAAAACATAAAACTTAATCAAGCCTTGAAATAAAAATATTTATCCAACATTTATTTAATAAGAAGTGTGCCATAGTCCATTTCCGCCTACCTCTTTAAAAGGCATCCATTACTTGTTATATCCAATAAATAAATTGCACTTTATAATAGTTATTCTACTATATTACTTAATAAATCTCTTCTGTATAAAATATAGGTTGTATAATAAAAGGAGGTTGATATTAGCAAAAGCAATTTCCTTAAAATACATCACTACGCCACTCGTAGTAACTAGTTAATGAAATAGTTACTGAATGGTGTCTTAGTTGCTATGCGTATGTATGTATGTATAATAGACTAGTTTTCCGCCTGTGGCTTCGCTTCTACGTAATGTTGAAATTACCGCCAGTAGATCGTGATTATATAGGAATTTTGGAAGAAAAATGCGGCTTTTTTTGAGGAAGGGATTCATTAAGTGACTTCTCCCGCCTTGGGTCGGGCAAAAAGGTGTGTTAGATCGGCAACCGAGCGACGGATTACCTGATGGTAAGCAATCGGCGCCGCCCATGGACACTCGCAACACCAAAGGACCTACGACTGCGTTACTGCTCCAAGCCGAGGCCGAGTGTAGGTAAATCATTTCCCTCGCACCTAAAACACAAGGCTGGAGCTATCCTACTCTCTGAAAAGATAGTTGGCTAAAAGTCTATTAATATTTTAAAGCGATAGTTAACTTTTTGAGTCTTTTTTTTAATGCAAACTTTTCTCTTTGTTACTTTCAACAACCGATTCTATAATCAATCTATGTATACAGATATAGTATATAGATAGTTAATGAGTCCATTTGCATAGTCATAAAATAATAAAGAATTTCGAGAATTATTTCTATTGAGTTCTCCAAATATCGGTACTGCTAGAAAATCTCTTGTAGGAATTTGACTGAAAGGAGTATGTTGATCTGTTGGTGTTTTTACTTGTAGATTAGGTGCATACATTATTTTTTAACATTTCTAATGAATAACTTTAATATAATCTTACTATTTTGCATAGCCATAAGTTTATCAATAACCAAGATATTGTAGAAGTTGGACCGGGATGGTTTTTGTCTATAAGTCTTTTTTTGTGAGTGGAAAATCATCAAATGACTTCTCCCGCCCAGGGTTGGGCGGGAGGGAGTGTCAGACTCTTACTGACTAAAACCCCCCGGTTCCTTCTCCTGCTCTAGGCCGACGTCGCGGTGCTTCATTGCGCTTACCCCGCAACCCTGGCTGTTGTCTATAAGTCTTAAACTCCCATCAGGGTGTGAGCAGTCATTTGTTAATTTTCCATCCCCAATAAGACAACATAACAGAATCTGTTCCGTGTTTACCTCTTTGCCTATAAATCACAATACAAGCGCTCACAGTTATGGACATCGGCCGGACAATATTGACGGTCGGTAGTCGGTCAAATCGGGCGATATTACGTCATTATTATGCATGCGCAAGAATTGTACGTGGAATAATTATAATGATAAATATATTTATACGTTTATTATTATCAAATCGGTGAGGATGGTGTAGGTAATATAGTTTTTTTATCGAAAATAACGACTTTATCACGTGAATTAAATGGTGGTCAGCTGCGCGACGTTTTCGCGTCGCGCACGCTGCTCATGAATAAGAGTCCCGTTGTGCTTTGAAACTGGTCGAGCTTTTCGCATTTAATTCACGTAAGTAAGTCGTTATTTTCAATAGGTACGTGTCACGTCTACTATTCATGATTTTTTAGTGAATTTTCGCCAAAGAAGACTTATCCAGCCAATACTAACGGTCTCTTTTCTCCTCATTTCACCGCATTGAGATTGAGGAACAGTTTCACCCTAGGGCGCTCAAGTTTAAACTTATTTGCTGTGGCCTTCTCCCCATAAGCAACAGTATAGGACTCTTTTACAAATTGCGTATTTTGTCTCTTAATCTGGCATATTCCTCGCAAAGACCTCTTCTCACACACTAAATCACCACGCTCACTCAATGCGAATTGACGGTTTCAAATTTATAATTCATAAGTCCAGTATTCACGTTCGTAAAATTATAATATCCACATTAATGTAATGGCGGCTAACCCGCAGTAATAAGTTACAAAGCTCAAGGGTAAACGCGGTTAGACAGGCGGGGAGCGGTGTGGCCGCACCCTTAGATCGATAGTGTGCACTCACCTTTATTAGCTAGACTCGCGC